ATTGTATTTAATGAACAAGATTTTTTACTTTTTTTTTTATATATATAGGTATATGTCATTATGAAACTTAAGTTATTAAAGTCCTAAAAAGTTTTCTTTTAATAATACATTACCTGAAGGATTTAGTATTTTAATATTTGCAACTTACGATCTATTTGTAATCAGTAAATGTTTTAAAAAACAGTTTTAAAAACAGTTTTAAAATCGAATATTGCAAACGTAGGTTTCATAAACATTTAAATAATTTAAGCTTTATGAATTATGTTCACAATTACTAAGAAGTTTTAATATATCAAATTAAAATTAAAAAATATATGTATCAAATCTTTATTACATTGTTTTTAATTAAATCTAGAATTCAATAAATCAAGTAATTGTATAGAAAAGTATTAGCAGTTTAATATACGTTTAAATGCTTTAAGTCCCTACGATATTGACAAAGTCTCTATTAGTTTTAAATAAATAATGACAACAAAATCCATCTTTCCTAGAAACATGTGTCATAACTACCTTCGTAATTTAACTAACATCTGATTTATCTAAACTAATTTAATGTAGCAACTTGTATAATGTATTTAAACACTACCTTACTGTACCAAAACTAGTTTAATCTATATAAATTACTTTAATGTAATTAAACTAGTTTAATATACCTAAGATACTTGCTTTGTCTAAACTAGTATAGTGGTTTAAACTAGTTTAATATATCTATGCTATACTATTGTATCTATATTAGTTTAATATGTTCGAACAAATTCAATATATCTTAACTAGTTCAATATGTCGTTCAGTAGAGATAATGCTTAAAGTTAACTATCTCTTATGCATGTGGTTATTGCTGAATTGTTTATTGATGTGAAAATCATTGTTCTATTAATGTGAAAATCATGAATAAATTTCATTAACAAAAACTATTATCTACTTTCAAATAATGAGAGCTGCAAAATGTAAAATTATTTTAAATGAAATTATTAAATGTATTTAAATTATTTATTTATGCTTTGCATGTATATTATTATTAACAGCTTGATGTTTCTTAAATATTGTCACTTAAGAATCAAATTGTTCAAATCTGTGATAACTTTAAAATTGTTAAAGTATATATTAGAGCATATTGCCAATATACTTCTAAAAATTTTTTTCATATTGTTATTATTATTCAGATAACTTCTCTTTACTATTTATTAATACCCCTATCTCTATTTTTTTCAAAATCCCTAAGCTATTGTATCAAAATGCATGTACCTTTCATACCTAATATTCTCCGATTAGTTCTATTAAAGATTAATTCCAAATCTTAAATCGTTTTAAGATATAAAAACTTATTGTTTGTCACGTAGAGAGAAGATTCAATATTCCGCAAAACAAAATTAAATTAGCAAAAAGTAAATACTATTTTTAAAGACTTAAAATAATTCTGACGTAATTCAATACCTGTCTTTTATAGAATTCAAGTATCGTTCAAACAATACAAAAATAAGTAGAACTATTACTAAATTAAATAATAGCTAATGAAAATAAATTAAGTAATAGCTAATGAAAATAATTTTTTGATGAAATTTAATTTTTTTTTTCTGAGCAATAATATTCACATACAATACATATAGATAACTATGATCCTTTAAAGAGTTTCATTAAAATTTTCGTAGCATACCAACTTGCCTTTTTTTTGTAATAGGTGGAAAAGTACATAAATAGTTTCAGAAAATACAGCGTGAGACCTAAACCGAAAAACATATCTCTTTGAAATTGTGAGGAATTCTCAATTGAATCATAAGAATTAATGACTGAAATCCCATTTTAGTAATTAAGAAGAGAAAATAGCGTTAAGACTTTACAGACTAAATTCATCCAACACAAAGGAGAGTCCCAAACTTTCTACTCATTCCATAAAATCATTACAAATGCAAAGGACTTTAAAAAAGTCAAAAAGAGAGTTCCAAAATTTCTATCCATTTCATAAAGTCATTACGTGTACACATAACTTTATTAGACTTTAAAAATTATTTCTAAAAATATTATAGATATTTTATTTCCATGTTAGACTTCAATTAAAACATATCAACCACCTTTCAGCTGATATAGATGTCAAGTTAGTTTTATTTGCCATGAGCTAGATCCTTATTTTTTTATCCTTATCTTTTCGCAAACATGTTATAAAATAAGACATTAATTTTTTAAAAGCTTTTTTGAATTATTCTTTATATATCTCTTAAAATCTTACTGAACTCCTTTAATCGATAATCCTAACAATGTTAGTTACTTAGAAGTTATTGGGTACTGTAAGCAGTACCCATACCACAACTTTCGAACAAGAGGACAATTTTAAAAAATAAATTCTACTCCGTGCAAAAGCTAATATTATTGTAGTTTTGTATATAATATAATATATATACATGTGATTTTTTTTTCTTAAATAAATATAACTCAAATTGATTGGAGTCTTCTTTATCTGTTCAATTTATCCGTATTTTATTATTTGCATTAAAGCATTGCCTGCCTATTTAAAGTAATTAATTTAGCTTCTATCTGTTTGTGAAAATCCTTTATATGTATATGTACTTGTATATTAAACCAATTATATATATATATATATATGTCGTGAGAATTTTTTGTCTATTAAATTCAATTTTAGAAAAATCAAACAATTATAATTCAAAATGTTTTATATATTTTGCCCATTTTGTTCATATATATTTGTATCTGCGAAATATCTGAATTATTAATTTATAAATTTGTATATTTATCCCTTCTTTCTTGTCATAAAATTAAATGCTGCTGCTGCCACCATATGATGATGTCAATTTATTTAAAATTTGTTAAATAAAAAATTGTGAAAAAATATTTAAAAATTATGCCATTTTCAGTGGTATCCACGCATGGTAAGTCTTAATTAAAAATTGCAAAATTTTTAAAAACTGTTTATAAATTTAATTATATTCTATTTAAATATTTATATGAACACGTTTTTGTGATATACTTTTTTTTTTTATTGGTTGACAATTATTAATATTAATGCGGTTTGTTTTTAGTTCATTAAACATATACGCTTTTATTAATTAATTTCATTCACTATCGCAGCGTAAAAAATTGACATATTATAATATTATACAGTTGATATTAATAACTATAAATTAATTAACTGAATGCACTTTATTGTCATTTTTGAAAATAGTTACGTGTGGCAGCTTTAAATGAACCATACATTGGCGATTTGCAAGGCATACGTGGTGCTGATTTCGCTTGTTATCGTCAAGGCAGAAGAGCTGGTCTGTTGGGTACATTTAAGTCATTCCTGTCATCAAGGTGAGTTTAATTTGTTTTAAATGAATTAATTAAATAAATTAAGATTCTACAATATTTAGAGATAGAAGTTAAAAAATAATTTTTAATTTCATTCTCAAATTTCTTTCGTGGCTTGACTCTTTATGTTAAAATAAAAACCAAAACGTAGCCAATAATAGCCAATGAAATACTAGTACATTAAAAACTATTTAACTATTTATTTAAATTAACAAAATGTATATAGGTTTTTTCGAACAGTAGTGAACTACAACAACAAAAATTTTATTTTTCAAATTATTTTAATAAATAGAATTTTTGGCTGACCCTACAGCTGTTTCGAGTATTGCCAAATACCCATCATCAGTGGTGTTGGAAATAATTCTTGTATTTAATTATTCGTAAATAATTATTTTTGAGACTGCTAGTACCAGAAATCGACCTCGGGTCCTGCCAAATATGAAGCGCAGATCAGGGCACCTTAACCAATTGATCCAAAGCCATACTTGACTTTTTATGTTCTCTTATTTTTTTCTGGAGTTTTATACTTGCTCTGTATATATTAGAACGAAAATGTATATATCAAATTTTTTTTAAATTATTTTTATTAAACGTTTGAATTCTGTGAATCTTTACGAACTTGACAAGGTTTCTGTTAGTTTTAAATAAATAATAACAGCAAAATCAATCTTACCTGAAAAAATATTTTCAAGATTACATGATCTAATTTACAAAATTAGAAACAGTTTTCATTAATACTGAAAAAAGTGCTTGTAAAAACCATGAAAGTGCACATTTTGATATGTGTTTTCAGCTATAAAAGCAGTTCCTTATCAATTAATAAATTGTACCTCCTCTTAATTGTTAATATAAATTATTACGCTAATAACTAATTTTTTAAAATAGTGTCAGAAAAAAAAATGTTTATTTATGACTAAAACCATTACAATCATTTATACGCAATTTTTATGGCAGTATTTGTTTTGAAATTATAGTCGTTCTATTTCTATATTGAAATCTTCCTTAGCAATCTGCCCCATATATTTATTATATGTACAAACCACTGTTCTACAATTGGCGACCATGCTTTTAGGTGAGAGCTTATTTCATAGTTAGTTAATATAGAACTAAAGTATGCTATACTCAGACAAACAACATAACAAACACACTTCAAGAGCATATAAACCTCATTCTGGAGTATTTTCAGAAATGGAAAATAAAAATCAATAATGAAAAAACTAAGGCTCTGTTTATAACGCATAAGTGGAAACAGAATCTGTCGAAAGTGAGAGTGTATCACCCACGCTCACTAGGAGGATAGCGTTAAATATCTTGGCATCACCTTGGACAAACGATTCACATGGCTTAAACATGTTCAACTGAAATGAATTAGCTGTGCCAAAATTCTTCATTACCTCCAACCGCTATTTAGAAAAGAAAACCTCAAAGCTAAGAACAGGAAACTGATATATAACCAAATAATTTGTTCGTCACTTCTATATGGTTGTGCTTCAAACACTACTATTCACCAGTTAGAAATTGCACAAAGCCAGGCTCTGAGAAGACTTTTCAAAGATCCTTGGTACATTAGGACGAATGACATCCTTAGGGACCTCAAGATTGATCCTATCAAAAAATACATAAAGGATAGAGCCCTGAAATTATTTGCGAAATCTGACAGATCTGATAACCAACACCGCGTTATCAAATGTCAGAATGGTTACAGGCTCCTCGGGGAGGTATGCAGATCTGATGCCAATTATTGCTTAGTCTAATAAAGTGATAAACAATAATTCAGTCAAGGCGCAAAGAGTGGTTTTCAAGAAACCTCGCAGTTAATAAAGAGTAAAAGTGCTCAGGTGCACTGACTCAACTAACCTCAACATAATCATATAGTATAGTTATTTATTCTTATACGGAAGAAATGTTGCCAACTATATTGTCCAATTCTTGCATTTCAAATTTGTTATTTTTATCAAAATATTATATACCCATTATTCTTGCAAGTATTACCAATATATATTGGAAATAAAATAATTGTTTTTTTAAGATACATAAAGTAGCGTTTCAAATCAAACGCAGTTGTTTTTTATGTAAAATACTATAAAGAACTCGATAAAAGTAATTTTTTTTCTTATAAATCTGATATAAACTTTTTGGTATGAAGCAATTGCAAATTTTAAAAACACACTTTCAATTAGTTATAGTTGCCATGGAATAACTATTTTAGTACTAACAGCAATCTATTAAGATACTATATCTAAATATCTAAATCTAGTTTATCTAAATTTTAGATAAACTACTTATAGAAGATGTTGATATGCAGCTTAGAATTAGTAATACATTTTTATGTAACTGAGCAGGCTAAACATGTAATGAGGGATTAGTGAAATATACGTGTGGCATTTAGCGTTACAAAATTCTGTACACAGTGAAGATAATATATATATTTAATTAGCGGTACGTCTTGAATAATATGTATCTATATAATAATCCATAATCAATAATTTACCTGACAGGTAACCAAGCAAGCTAAACAGATGAAGGAAAATATGAAAATATTGCTATATAAAGAGGAGGCATTTAGCGTTGCAAAACTCTAAAAACGCAGTGATTACATATATATATATACTAGGCTAACAGTATGTTTTAATTTTTATATATTTATGTAATAACAATTATTTTGTTTTATTAGATACATGATATATTTGCAAGTAAGCAGCCTAAGCAGATACTGTTAGAAAGTAATACTTCAAGATTATATATATGTTAGACAAATAGGATTGTTTTCTATAAAAACTATTCTTAAAAAAACTAGGTCGAGAAACAAATTTAAAAATTAAATAGAATTGTTTTAATAATTTTTATGTTAAAAAATAATACGATTATTAGTTTAAAGCCAGGAATTCCAAATACGAGACTTATATTTAGTGAAATTTTCAATAGTGAAATTTTCCATAGAACTAGAAAATTACAATAATGTAGGTCTCATCTATGGCAAAAAAGGTTATTTGTACACAAGTGTAATTAATCTTCTGTTTTATAAAATATTTTAATCAATAAGACTTAGTAATCCCTTCAAATGCAACTGCTTTTGCGTGATTTGGAAGTATATTTTATAAGAAAATATCGTTAAACCTTTCAACTTCAATTGTATTTCAATTATACTTTAAAACTGGTACTCGTTCAAGTAAAACACTGTGCACTTAATATATAATGAAAAAGAAATATTTCAACTAAACTACAATAATACTTCAATCGACAAGTGTGCACAAGTTAAACTGTAAAACGCACACGATATGTGCACATAAGTGCTACGTTACAGCACATGCATATACATATTATATGTGCATGTTGTGTTTTGGGAAATGGGTTTTGGATTTCTAAAATAGATCAAGCATAGCTACCAAAAATATTTTTTGGTGTATATTTTTAACAAAGTGAATGAAACACATCAACTTCACGATTGTTTCAGTAAAATGCGAAAACCAAAAATAAACTTTACGCTGAGCTTAAAATGAGAATATGACGAGTAAATTTTTGTTGAAGGGTTTTCATACTAACTAAGCTCACTTCCCGTGTAATGCACTCTAACGTGTATTTGACAATGAACATTAGTACAGTAGTATAATAGCACAATAGCACAGTAGCCCATATATATAAACACTACATATCAACATTTTTTTGGTTTAACATTTTTGCAGTTTATTGTTAAGTGCAAACATTAAAAATTGCTCAAATATTTTAAAATATTTTAAAAATAGCGAAAAATATCTTGAAACACCACAACATTGCGCGTAATCCTTAATTTTGCTTTTACAAAAGTTCAGACTCCACAAATAGGAAAAAAATATTGCTTTAAAGTAATAAATGCGAGAAGGAAAATGAAAAAATGTTATAAAAACCACGGGTTCAAGCACTGCAATTAAAAATTTACTATGGAAAATTTTTGTTGAAGAGTTGTTATTTCGTTGAAGAAGTTTTCTTTCGACACTTGCCATTTTTAATAATGCGTGCAACATAAAAACTCAACAGGTGTCCTTAATGATGGCTTTGGTGGAAATAACTTCATTTTCTGTACCGACCGAGTTTAAAAAAATAATAAAATAAAGTAAAATATAGTTGGTAATGTATTCTTTGGTTTGTTGTTTATTGGTTATCCGTTGGAAGTCACTGGTTCTTAGTCAAATGCGTGTTTCAAATTGTGCCATATTTATTTATTACAGTTTCTTTTATTTTTCTTTGCAATATAAGATATTTTAAAAACTATTTTTAATTATATATATTTTCCATACTTGGGTTGAAGTTTTGAAGTTTTAGGAAAACAAACCTTTTTATTTTATTTTTAAAAATTATTTAATAAACAGGTTTCTTTCAACAGTAGTGAACTACAACAACAAAAATTCTTTTTGTATTATTTTAATTATCCAAGATATTAAGATATTATATAAAATATTTATTATTTTTAAATATATTTATTTTCCATACTTGAGTTGATTTATTGAAGTTTTAGAAAAATAAATATTTTTATTTTATTTTGAAAAATTATTTAATTTTGGTTTCTTCCAACAGTAGTGAACTACAACAACAAACATTCATTTTGTATTATTTTAATTATTTAAGTTATTAAGATATAATATAAGATATTATAAAAACTATTTCTAAAAATATTTATTTTTCATACGTGGGTTGATTTATTGAAGTTTTAGGAAAATAAATGTTTTTATTTTATTTTTAAAAATTGTTTAGTAAAAAGGTTTCTTCCAACATAAAAGGTTTAAAAAGGTAAAAAGGTTTCTTTCTTTCAACAGACAACAACAAAAATTTATTTTATACTATTTTAATTATATGAATTGTTGCCAAATACCCATCATCAGTAATCTTGGTAATAGTTCTTGTTTTTAATTATTATACAAAATTTTTGGAGACTGCAAGTACCAGAAATCAAACTCATGCCCTGCCGAATTTGAAGCTCAGAGTCAGCGCACCTTAACCAACTGACGCAAATCCTTATTTGACTTTCA